GTAATGGAAAAGTCCACTTGTTCAAACTTCTGATCCTTTTGTTATTTAAAAAGCTGTGCTTTTAGTTTAGATTTATGCCATTGCTTACTGCTGTAACACTTACGAGGACTATGTATGCCCACGGGGATTCATCCAACTTCTTAAACTGGACATACCCTTCTCAGTTTATGCTGTTTTTCTAGGACACATAACCCTGTAGCTTTTCCTAAACTCTTGATGCTGTGTACAGATACACAACTTCATGTTACAGGTAAGTCTCATCGGAAATGCTGATTGCACACTGAAAAGCAGCAGTATACTTTTTTGATGACTGTGACTATTCCTCCTGTCTCTCAGTCCTGCACCAAGAGAACCCATTATGTGATCAGGGCAAAGAATTGCTAGTGCTCCGAGAGCAACATCAGAAATTAACACTTCCATCATCATTCATGAGTAAGGAGGAATGTGTCAAAATTAGTATAAAGCATGATCTATTTTCAGAGAAATGTTTAAAGTCTTTTTGTGATACATTCAAATGTTTCACACTGAATTAGCAATAGGAAGCACATGAGTTATTACTATCTTTCAAAAGACTTAGATTTTATCGAACAGTAGCATGGTACCTCATGCAACTCAATGCAGCACATACAACTGATTTTTAACACTCAAAATAAGAAAGACTAAACGTATACAAAATGAGTTTTAGGAAAAAATGAAGTGATCTAACACTAATAGACAAGAGGATGAGTAAAGTACATCTAAGTTGTTCCAAGTTAATTTCCATAAACAGAAAGCAAATGTGGAATTACTTGGCATAAACCAACACAGTAAGGGTAGTTTGCTTACCTTGGCCCTGGATTATAAGACACAAACAGTTTGGAAGCAAAAAAATTTACTAGCAACACAAATTTGTGCAGAATGTCACAACTTGTACATAAAAAAGGCAAAAAGGACTTGACTATAGCACAGACTTGACATTCTGTACCTGAAACGAACTCAAATAAAACAATGGTTTTATTGAGGCATTGCTAATTATCAAGTGTTAAACCCATGGAAAAGAAAAGCAGCCAAAACAAACAAACAAAAGAGTAGCAGAGTGATATTTTATGAAGAGTGGAAAACCCAGCATTTAATTATGTCACAAATACCTAAGCATTGCTAAGACAACTGGCAATATTTGCTAAAAATGTGAATGTCTGAATCGCTGGGAATACAGGCAAACCAAAAGTATTAATTTCTTTCCTCAGACTCTTTAATAATTTGTTTTGGGGACAAATACATGCTCTGCAGTTCTGAAGATCACATGAGCCTGCTTCAAAAGATACCATGAGAGCCCAGCAAAAAGAAGGAATTACAGCAAATACGAAGCACTCATTTACATTTTAATGGCTATAGCTCTTTACCTTTTGGAGACCTCAGTTTGAGATAAGAATTTAAATTTAAGTATCCATATGGCACTCAGTAACTACTATTTGTAGTCTATTAATCAAGTTACAATGCAGCTGTTCATGATAATATACAAAGCACCCCATGCTTTCTAAAGGAAATCCAAGACAGAGCTACCATCAAGCCTGAATAAGGAACTTCAGCAAAAAGCAAAGACAGGGTACTTTGTAGAAGCAGTAGGGCAAGAGACATTTCTAAATCTGAAGTACTGTTTTAGTTTGCAAATCATCTGTTTACAAAAGATCATGACAAAACAATGCATGTCTCCCACTACAATATCCCACATTTCGTAGCAAGAGTTTTACTAATATTTCTACTAATGCAACATTTAAGGTTAATAGAACTTTCTAACACTTTTTCACCAGTACTTAAGAATTACAGATTAAAATAACTAGGAAATAAGTGATCTTACCTAAAAATAGAATCCCATAACAAATTACATTTTAGTAGCTACAAGAATCCCCCTCATACTTGCAGAACTTGGGCACTATAATAGAGTGCTTACTGACTCTGAAGTCAGAGGCTCTAACGTAGTTGCATACTGCACGAGTTCAAGGATTCAGGACCTTGTTTCTGCAACAGATTTACCGGGAGCACATCCATTTCTTAACTAAGAGAGTCACACTGGGAGAGGTGAGTTATTTTATAGAACAAAAAGAATGCAGAGAAATATGAAACAAATGCTCAATGAAAAAAACAGCCTAATTCAGTTTTTGTTAAACTGGAAAGAACGTATGAGTCTAGACACTGTGATGTCCTATCTCATCATGAACAGGACACGGCTGCCACTGAAAAGTCAACTTAAACCAAATATGATAGATTAATCACTGACCCAGCTAATTTATTTAGTTCTATGGATGTCAGCCAAAAACTGTCACATTTTCTGTATTAGCTGGTATAATAAGATACCGCTTCATCTACGAATCCTGTCACTTATGTTTTCAATGTTCTACTTTGATGGAGTGCTTTCAAATGATAAATATTTAAGAACAGTTTTATACAGAACAATTTCAAAATATATATAATACAGGAATTAATTTTACAGTACAGCACTTATAATGGAGCAATTTATTTTTAAGGGAAAGTTAGCAGGAAAAATATTTAAGTGCTGAACTTATTAAAGAGGCTTACAGAAATGTGGTCTGTTACCTGCCTTATCACAAGAAGCTGTATTTGAAAAACACAGTAAACATCCTTGGCTGAATTCACAAAAGCATTTAGTAGTTTGTTACGCTATTACAAAGAATAACATTCAGTTTAAGGTTGAGATAAATCTTGTTGAGGAATAGGTTTTTTTCATCCTCTTGCTGAGGACTAGATTTTTTCCATCACTTGTCACTTCCTTGCTTTCCCAGTATCTACAAATAGATTCCATACATAATGATTCGCCCATTTCAGGCACATAGGTGTACTGAGCAACTATTTGTAGCTAAAAATTATATAACTGGTAATTTTGATAGAAATTTTGATAGAGAAGGACCACACAACATTGCATTTAGTAACTATGAGCAACGCAGGTTTTTCCAACTGTGTAACTTTTACAAACCTTTATTAATTCAACAAATTTTAATCCTTAACTATTTTAAGATGTGAATCTCATTATGGAAAACCCCACTGTTCATCCTTTGGCCAAATAAAATATAATCCACAAGCAGTCCACGACAATCAAGTCTGTGGGAGTAAGCCAAGTAACAAAACAATTTACACAGTTAAGTGAAGACTTCATGGTCAGATACAGAAGTTACATATACTAATCCATGTAATTCTAATACATACACAGTTCTGCAATTAGTGGTGCTATTTTGTGTATATTTTGGAAAAAAACCCACAAAACAAAAAACCCCCCAAATCCCACACCACTAAAAAAGCACCCCAGTATCCTAGCAGAAGCTATGGGAAAGGAATCAGAGTTATCTGCAATGAGACACTGGCACTGACAGGCTACACAGTTCAATGATGCCCACAAACACAACACTTCAAAAGCAGCAGCATGACCTTCAGGCAACCTAACTTCCGCAGCATCCAATTGCAAAGTTGAAATAAAACCACTCCTTGAATGTTAATGTCTTAAGATGGAGACATTAAATACTGTTTCTAGTAGACATCAAAAATCAAGAGGAAAATCTAAGTATTCTGAGATTAATACTAATGTGAGTACAAACACCAGCTGGAAGAATATACTCTTCTGCTTTTTAAAGTTTCTAAATATGCTTTTAAAATTTATCCCATCTTCCAACGTGTTATAATACCCCTAGAAGTAAATTTGGTCAAGATAAATTTAGGTTGGGTAATTACAGAAATTGATGATGAAAAGTCAAAAGAGGTCTTTAAGTGCATTAGTCAGTCCTTTTTTTCTTCTTACTGTACCAAAGAAGAACTGGTAGTCAAAACAGAGAGCCTACTGAAAAAACACTGAAATTTATTCAGTCATTTTAAAAAGCAAGCTACATTATTAACAGAATGTAAATCTTTGAGCAGGTTTAGATAACCAAGGATTGAAAGGAAAAAATATTTAAGATTTTCAACATTTTCCTTTTGTACTGTAAGCTTTTGGAACATGTTTTGTACTGTGCGCAGCAAAAACTGATGGCCATTCCCTTTCAGGACCTACACATGATGACTACAGAGGACATAATGCAGGCTGGAGCGAGGCTAACAGGTTGACCTTTTCCTTCAAACCTATAGCTCAGAAGAGCACTTAACGGTTACAAATCCACAGCCATAAAGAAGTTGACTGAATAGCCAACAACAGTTGGGAATGTTTTCATGTTTGGTAAATTTGAATGGTCACGGAGATACTATGGACTCCTGTACTAAGAAAGTTAATCTCCTCATGCCCCTGAAGTAGGACAAGTCATTTAAAAAATTCTTGCTTTGGCATTTTAAACAGTGGAAAAGACAAAACAGCTTTGCTCTGGTCTTGCAGTCAATTAACTGAACTGTGTGTGGCTAGAGGTTGCAGGAGAGGGTCTAAAGCAGCATAACCTATGTTAATTGTAACCCGTTTTAAAATCCCTTTTTTTACTTGTTAGTCAGCCTTCAAACAGAGAAGTATTAATACTGGCATGGTAGATGGAGACATGATGTTTATGCAATTTTAAGTCTAAAGCTAGATTAGTCTTTCTTCTCTATGTCCAAAGTACAGTATTAGAATCTTCATTACAGCAGGAAAAAAAAAAAAAGTACTGCTATCATCTAAACTCTTCCTCCATTTAAAAGAAAATTCCAGTTTGAAATTTCTCACGGATGTTTTTCCTGCACCTTCCTCCCACCACACACTGATGGTACTTATTTTCTTTTTACATTAGTGTATTCCATTCACTTTAGCTGACTCATTCTCCACTGACAAAACAATTGTACTGCAGGATCTGTGAAAAGAAAGTAGTTCCACAAGTGCACAATATAATTTCATCTATCAATTATTGGAGACCAGTTCCGTAAGTCTCAGGTGAACGCAACCTTCCTGATACAATATATGAAATTTATGACTACTTGTAGTAGTACTTAAAAGCACATTTTGTCATTCAGCTGTGACAGTATTTCCTATTTGAAAGAATGGTTGCAGCTTTACTTACCCTGGACTTGAGGGAACCTTCCCAATTTTCATCCACATACCTCTAGGACAGCTCCTGCATAAAGCTGTAATAATAAACAGAAGCTGTTAATGACAGTAAAAAAAAAAATAATTTAAATTACTAGTTTACTTATAGTGAACTGTTGAACTACTTGTCTTTGAGAAGACAATATGCTATTGTGTTGACGGTAACCACAGGCAAGTAAGATCCTAAATAGAATCACAATTCCAGACCTGTCTCTGACTTATACTACAACTGACTGTTCACTCAAGATACACAATAATTTCCATTCATTATATTAAAAATGTAAAAACAGGAAAGAGAAGATCATTTGAGATACACTGTTGCTGGAAGCAAAGCTTCACCTGAAAAAAAAAAAAAAAGGCAATCAGACCTGTTACAATGGGAATTATGGGCTAGTAATGGGAAAACTTTATTTCTTCCTCTCCAAAGATGCTAAGAAAACCTCATTAAGTGAAATTTTAGTTTCCATTTCAAAATTAATTTGGACAGTGAAATACTGTTTATTATAAAGATCAGGCAGTGATTTTAGACTTCTGATTCAGGCTAACTATTAGAAGTTTACTGTAGTTAACTGTGATTGCAGAACGAGGACATCACATAAATAGACCTTAGCTGAAGTAATATATACAGGCTGGGCTAACTTTGATCCTTGCACTTAGATGTCAATGATTTCTGTCAGCTATGCAAGGTACTCAATGTTCTTAAAGCAAAGTATAAGTTCATTTCAATTTTATGTAGTATCTAAATAAAAAAAATATTGATCTTGTATACTGTCGTGTTTTTAAACTTCTTGGGGTTTTTCTGGCAACACGCAATTGATTCTATAGTTTGCTGAATCTTAAATACAAATTAACAACAGATTTTTTTTGGTGACCAAAATAGAACTTCAAACCGTAAAGTTAGGCATTTTAATCTTACACATAGTTGTCAATACTTTATACCAAACTGCACCCTTCTAACCCTGAAACCCCAATGTTTATAGAGAATCTGACAGAATATGCTTCATTTAAAATTTTTTAATTCAATTCATTACCTTCTACAAGCTATTAAGACCTCTGGTTTCATTTTCTTTTAGACAGTGTTTTCATATCAAATGTGCAAGTCAGGACATGGAAAAACATCATTTATTGAAATGAAGTAAATTCACATTTCACTTAAAATATGAACTGTGAATACATGTAATTAAAAATAAGCTTTTAATATGAAATTTAATTAGTACTAATCTCTCTGAAAAAGGAGTGAGAGTCATAATAGCAAACCACATATGATACGACAGAAGTCTCAAAGACAATTTTATTAACACTTTGTCATCGATCTATGTAGGCATTATGGACAGCAAGCAATACATCTTCATTTCAGAATATCAATCATCTGAATTCACGTCCAACTCAATATTTGCCTATATATTCTGAATTAGAACATAAGAAATCTTCTAATCATTTGCCAAGAAATTACAACTTCTTTCCTGACCTGAACTAATCGGCAATCACTACTTCGACATGAATCAGAACTAAAAGCATTACATTGCATTATGTGTTCCGAACCGCACCTCAGATACTTGCTTAACTACATCTACATTCAGATTTTCAACTACACATTAGAATTACGATAAAAACTAAGATTTTACTATTAAAATCCAGAACTGCTATGAAATAATACTCTAGAGATTAAATATACCAAATTTTTAAAGCTTCTTTTTTTCAGCACCAAAATAAAAATTTTAATTAAAAAGACAATGATAAACAGCTCAGATAGTAGCTTGCATAATGAAAGTTCCTCTGGACTTAAAACATTAAATCATTACAAAGATGGAGGAAACCTGGAATAGTGAGATTATAAACTTCACTTACCTTGTCTTTATTCATTATTCTTTAAAAAATATTCAACAACAATTGTATGTAAGTCTAGGATTGCTGATATTAGTTTTCACGCTCACTAACACACTGAACTGGTTCTCTGACATGGACAGTTATCTGCATTTTTCTATCAACAAGTTAGTATAAAGAAGTAGACAGCCAAATAAATAGCCTTTTTCTATCCAGTTAACTAATTATTTTATATATGTGTATAAAGAACTAAGTATATCCAAATTTAGGACAAGGGTAAAGTGAGAATTTTTCAGTTCTCATTACTGCAAATAATTCCTACAGCTTATTTCTTCCTTTCAAACAAGTATTTCTATGGAAAGAGATTGTTGCAGGAATCTGAAATACATAAGACATGCTGTAATTACAAACTACTCTCAGTTTGTAACTCCTAGCCAGTATCTGACAGAAGTAAAGCTTAACAAAGAAAACAGCTCAATTGTGATGTCTACATTTTGAGCTTATAACTCTGCAGTAATTGAAGCCTAACTGTGCTGGTACAAAAAAGTTCAGATTCATGCTGGGACACACAGCTGCTCTCTAGATGGCTAGACAAGAAAAAAATTAAACTCAATTGGCTTCATTTATAACTCTAAACAAAGGTGTTTTTTGCAAGAAACACAGGTTTATTTGCATCACTTAGCCCACAACAAAAGCATACTTGATAATATCTACTGCTGCTACCATCTCATCATGTCCAGAGCAGATGTCCTCCAAACTTCCTTGTGAAGGCACTGACTGTTTTCCAGGCTAAGAACGACGTGTATGGCTTAGTGTGGAGGCATACAAACATGACGAGGCAGTTCACTGCACAATGCTTAACTCATAAGTTAGTCCATTTTAAAATAATGCTTCACTTGTTTTAGTGCTCATGAAAGTCAGTTTAGTACCACAAGCAACAAAAAAAAAGTCTAAACTATTACTAGTGTCCATTTTAACAGCCAAAATGAGTGCTGTTATGATTTCCAGGCTGATTCATGTCTGCATCTATAAAAATAACTTCGCTTTTTTAAAAACATTCGAATATTACGCTTTCCAAGGCTACTGTGACAAAACCTGAACTTTCCCCTCACCTTTTACAAAGCGCCAACCTGAGTTAAATTTCATTCAAAAGCTTTTTGTAAGCACCTGAATGTCTTGTAATAGTTCACACTGATGCCAGAACTGAGAGGAGGAAAACCACACTATCAGTCATGCCTGCTTTAATGATGAAGGAAAGTGGTAATTATAACAGAATAAACCACCATTTACATAACAACTGTGTTAGATAAAAATATGTATTGTAACCGTCATTGTTCCAGGAACCTTCACCTAAGCGAAAGAAAACATTTCACCTGTTATTAAGAAGGGAATTCAAGTAATTTCTGCATGACAAAATTCCAGTACTATTAATGTATAAATAGATATGTTTTTGTTCAAATAGGTGTTCAGATCAAAACAAACCGAAAGAATGATCTCTGAACAGAGATTTCTTCTTGATCATAATACAATGGTGTTAGACCAAAGGTAACAAAACATGTTTTGTAAAATGCAGTAAGTTATCCCTAATTTTACTTCTATAGCACCTATAAGAAACCAGTGTGGAAAGTATAACTACTGACTAAGCCTGACCCTGCACAGGTTATAAGTGTCACTCAAAACTGGATTTGTACAGCTGTTCGCAACCAGCTGGAAAAAAATTATAGCACCGTCATGCCTTAAAACATGCAACAAAATAGGCTGTTAAGATAAAGCCAACAATAGAAAACAGCTATCTTATGGTATCTGGATTCTCTCAGATACCTGCATATTTTCCTCTCCTAATATCAAACAGTTGAAAAATATAAAGTTAAGCTCTGAGAACAAGCAGTAAAACATGACTTATGACTACTGCTAAAACTCTGGAATTTTCACTTGCTTCAGGTACAACATGATCTTCCATTAAATATTTACCAACAACTAGTATCTTTCCAATGGAAACACTTTTTCTTTTTATGAAATTCACTGTAATTTTGATTTCATATTACCATATAAACAGGTCTGCCAAAGACACCGCCTCATCCCCTATCAATTCATACTATTGTTTTACTTCAAAGAAGTCAGGAAAAATACAGATACTATTCTGGTTATTGGCCAGAGTTGCTTGGTATGTGCAAACTTGGTATTGTTTTAAAATAGGATGCAGGATCTCTTTTTTTGAAAGGCTTGCAAATTAATTTAGTTGTTCCACCCACCCAGGAAGCAAAACAAGTTAATAATTGATACTTGCTCTTCTGAGAAACAAAGTCAAAGGAAAGAGATGTCGGTGCATGTTTCTTCTGCTCTTTCCTGAACTCTTGTAGCTACCAATTCATTTGTTACTTTTATCAGAAAACTAGGTTAGTTAAAATAAAGCAATATACACTGAGATATAAACGATAAAAATACTTCCTCTTCTATGGGGAACAGAATGCAGGGTATTTGTGTGGACAGTTAGAAGTTTCAAAAAATCACTCTAGTGTTCCTATTCCCTGGAGACAGAAAACAAGCAAGAATCTGTGGGTTAACAGAGAGCAGTCAGAAAGCCTCAGAATGCCAGAAACATTATGAATTACTGTTCTGTAATGCAGAAAGCCAATAAAGTCATTATTACACACAAATCATTCTGAACTGATGTCATCAGTAAATTTAGTAACAAAGAAACTGCTCCCATTCACAACTCATTATCCTGTGAAGGGAGATGCCTAACTCTTAAGAGTCTGGAAACAAAGAGTCAGTCAAAAAACACTTCATCTGAATCAGTGCTATTCCTGTGTTAAGTGCTATGTATTACAGGCAAATTCCTCCGAACAAAGCTGAAGCAGAACCCAAGCTCTCATTTATTTGCAGTGAAGAAATTCCAACCGAATATAAGAGTGAAAAAAAAGTCACAATGGGGGTGTTTAAGCAGTGAAATAATTTACTAAGAAAGGTTGTAGATCTTCAGAACGTTGAGTTCTGCTTTGAGTAGAAGATGCAACTTTTTTATTTTGTACGTACATAACATAGCTGTGTACATAGCATAGCTATTACAATCTTCAGTATACAGAAGAGGTGTCATCCATCCAAGTGGTTTATTTCTGGCGTTAAACAATCTCCTCCTTGCAGTATTATGTGAACATTCTTGCTCTTTAAATACAACAACCAGCAAAAAGCTCCAAAACAACTTCCCCTCCTA